TAGGTTTTCAATAGTCTAGGGTAAATACGCTTTGCTAGCTTTAATACTAAAATTAGCTTAAACCAATGCACTAAGCTGGAATTAAAAGTATTTTATACAAAATTTTAAAGAGTTGGAATATGTTGATGCCTTGCTTTAAAGAACTTAATTAAAAAATCAAAGACCTCTTCGTATTAGTCCTCAAAAGTGCTGAAAAAGTAATAACCTTTGTTCTGACTACATTTTCTTTTCCAAATCCCTATTAAAATATCCCTATAGACTTGCAATCTCTTGCACTCTCATCCGTAGGTTAAATTAAAAGCGTATTTCAAACGCCAATTTACTATGCGAAGTTTAGGCTTAAAACCGAGTTTTAATTTAACCCGTTGAGTAAATTTAAATAAAAGAAATGATTTTGTGGATCTGAAACTAAAAACTCTGAGGCACTAAAAAATCCAAAACTGTATATAACTTGGTAAAGTTATAAAATTTTTAGGTAATTCCGACAATTATAGCTAATGCCAGATTTTAAATAAGCCCCTCCCTTGCCATTATAGCATTCATTATCCATGACTTGGCTGTGCCATTTGGCTCATTTGCCTCATTTTCGCCCAGTTTCATCAAAAATGCAACAAAATGCCCGAGTAAAAGGGGGACGGCCGCAATTTTCGCATTTGATTTAATTGTGAATGTATTTATTAAATAAATTATTCATGGCCAGGGTGAGTGCACTTCGCCATGTGAATGTGCTGTGGCTGACCTAAACATGTCCTGGCCGCAGGAGCGCCGTCACCGTTGCACAGCAGGATGTATGACCGAATTTGGAGGGGGGTGAGGAGGAGGAGCAGGACGAAGAGGAGGTCCTGGGTTCCGTTTGCCACTGTAATTAGTTGTGGTGGAATAATCGCATGCGACCGGCGACATTTCTGTGTGGCAAGGAATGTTCGTTGGTTTCGGGTAGTCCACTCCACTCCACTTTCCATGTGTCTGGGTGTGTGTTTAGTATTCCTGGCATTAGGAAGTGGAGGTCAAAGGACTGCGATCTGTGGGCGGCCGTAATGGCATAAATTCGGAATGAGTCCCTACGAATTTACCATAATATTGGAGGGTGGCATGGGGACCAGGATGTGGATCGAAACATGTGTTTATGTGTACAATAATGGGCTGCGGGCGGCGTAGATTGGATGGGTGGTGGTGTTCGGCACCACTTGTGGTCGGGTGGTGCGGGCAGTTGGCGGTGCTTGCATTTTGGCCTTTCTCGGAATCGGTGACATTTTAATTTACCCAAGCGAGAAAACCAATTTTGTTGCCATGAACCGAAAATGCAAAATGTGACAAATGCCACAGTAGCTATGGCGAGAGCATTGTTTCTGTGCATAATTTATTCAACATATATTTATTGGCAGTTATGATTTGCATTATGTGGCTGTCAAGGGCTTTTCGGGGGATAGAACCGAAAGGATATGACTGCACTCTGAGGTTCACTTAATTGACTTTGCAAAATTACATTTGCATTTGGCCAAATTAACTGAAATGAATAAGCCTTCTCCCCCCTCCCAGCATTTCCTTTCCCGGCTTCTGGATGCAGCTAATGAATGAGTTATAAATCAATGGATATGAGATTGGTTGTTTGAGCTTAATTCTGTGCAAGGATTTTGATTGCTGAGGATTATACCTAGATGTAGAGTCTTTAAAAATCATATTTAGATGTGAGCTTTTAAGTGCTCGTTTGGAAAATATGTTGTTTTGGATTTTCGGGGAACAAATGAATTGATACCTTGGGAGATATGTATTTTATTTTTAAAAAGCGCGGTTAGTTGAGTATAGAAGGGTACTCAAAGAAAAGTATGGATAAGATATGATGCTCATTTTGATGATAATCAGTATAACTTCAATTTAGATACTGGTCTTATCACTTTAATATGATATCTTGCTCTATTTCCGAAAGTTTCGATTATTGCTGTCTCTCTCTCACTCAGAGTAATTATAGACGTAACCTAACTTTTTTCTCTTTTTCAATTTTTTGAGCATTTTTAGAAAGAGAATAATCAAGAAATACAATTTCTTAAGGTTAATCTTTGTTCAATCTTAAAAATTATACCTAATATGTTTACCATGACAATATAAAATGGGTCCTAACGCGTCTGTGTATATTTAAAAGAACCATTGGATGTTCTCTTAGCCACTTATCTTGTGTCACTAAATATAAAAACCATTGTAAACCATCTCAGAAAAGGAGAACTACAATCTATTTTAGAGTTCCAAAGGTTTCTGGTTATAATCCACTTCCGAAAGGACTCAATTCCATCTCTTCCGGAAAAGTTACACTTTCAGCTCTGACAGCGTGATGGACTATTGCAAATTCCTGAGCGCTTTAAGGGGCGATTTGATGGGGAAAAAGCTCGCCATGCCATTGATCCGCACTTCGGATGGCAACGGGAGGCGAGTCTTGCGGGTCTCTCGTGTCAGTGCGCTGATTAAATTCGGCAAATAACGCTGATGCCTGCAAATCGCCGCTCAATGCGAAAGCAGTCTCTCTGTATCTCTGCACATATACGACGAGGGTGTGGCATCTGAGTCAGGTTGGGAACTAGAACTGGGATATGGGATATGGGATCTGGGCTCTGGGCACTGGGGTTGGGATCTGGGGTCTGGGACCATGTTGAAGTACACAAAACCCAGGCAAACAAACAGGCATTTCATGGCAAACAACACAGCGAAGGGGAAAGGGTAGAGGCCGAGGGACTCGACTCTAGTTTTACCCGGCACTAAACTCCCCTACATTTCCATACAACCCATACCCATGGCTATACCTATACCCATCTCCATCTCCATCTCCCCCAGTTTGGCAGAGCCCACAGGCTGAGTTGGGCAAACTGGCAAATACGACCAGCCACGTCAACGTTGGCATCATCGTCATCGGCATCGAGGAGCTTTGTTTGGTTTGTCCAGGGGGTTGGGTTCCGGGTTTTAGAAGGCATGGGTGTTGGGGATATGGGATATGAGGGGTATGGGGTATGGGGTATGGGGTTTTTCCATCCCAACACTACGTGCGCCCAACTCATTCGCATTCGCAGTCGTCGGCATTTTATTGTTCTAGTCGTCGACATCGATGTTGGTTCTGCAGTTTCGGGCATTATTTCGGTTTAGTTTGGTAAATACACATGCAGCCAGAGCAGCCAGCACATGCACATGCACATTTCCACTCCCATTTCCATTTCTATGTCCAGGCCATCTGCGTTACCCCAGATCCCGGATCCCAGAACCCAAATACCAGCCAGCACTCACCCCATTTCATAAACGACACAAAACGCTCTAAACCATGAGCTTATGCAGCAGACGTTATCATGATGTTCTACTGGGGGAAACTGTTGATGCATGTTGTTCATGATGATGACGAGGATGATGATGATGACGAAGCCAGTGATGCAGCTGCATTCTTCGTTGCATTTTTCCTTCATTTAATAAAAGCTCTCGGGGAACTGCTCGAGCCTGCCTGCCTGCCAACCAGATTCCACTTGGATGGAAAGCCAGTAAATAAATAAAATCCAAAGCAGAACACTAAGGCTATCGAGGTGATAATATTTACCCAACCACAAAAGTTTTTCTCTATTTTTGTTGAATTGTTGATTTTCACAAAAATCCGAAATATGTGCAGCTCTCTCGAAACAGTATCTAGTATGCAGCTTACCATCCTATGCCACCACCCCTGGTGAAAAAACCACTTCGGATGCGAGTTTCCATTTGAGACCGGGCAGCTTTAAGGTCCACAAAGGACCAGAAAGCCAGCCAGCCAACCAGCCAGTCAGCCAGCGAAATGGTTTTCGAAATACATGCCGTGCCGGCCTCATAACATCGTTGTCCTCGATGTCGTTGCAAATTCCATTCGGCATTGAATGCGAGCGGAGATGGTGGTGCTGCCAGGAGCAGGAGCAGGAGCAGGAGTAGCAGCAGGAGCAGGAGGACTAGCCAGGAGTTCTCTCCTGGTTCGGCGACCTGAAAGGGGCGGACTCTGGGGGGCGTGGCTGTCATATCTGAAAGCAATTTCGGAGCGGGCAACCCGAAAACGAGTAACAAGAATCGATAAATTCGTTGGGCGTGCAATTTGCGCCGTGCGGAGGAGCCTCAAAGGAAAAGTGGTGGGCACCGAAAGAGGTGGTGGTGGTGGCGGCACTGCGTAGTCGGAATCCTCCGCCCTCATCCCATTCGATTCGCATGCCTGAGTGGACCATGTCCGAAATTCAAGTTTCGGGCCTTCGCCATTTGCATTCAACCAGCGTCAACCTGCTGGCCATGGAGTGACTGCTCTTGTACTGGCTTCTGCTCCTCCTGATGGCGATGGCGATGGTGGTGGCAGTGTCAGCGGTTCCCTGTCCCATCATCCCATCACCCGTCACCCGCTGGCCGTACTGGGATCCACCTTGTCGCCTACGTATGCAAATTGCCGCAAATGCAACGAGGCGTATGCGCAATTTTTGCCCGTCACACAACTCGCGGACATCAATCAGATATTAGCAGAGGAAATTCGAACGAACACAGTACCAACCATCTGCCCTCATCCACTGGGAATCCCGTGTTGTGTCGAATTACAGGGACAGAAGACCGTATAATCTGGTCTCTCCGCTTCTTATTGAGCTTATGCAGAGTGCATTTAGCAAGGAGCTCTTTTTGAAAAAGAACTTGTTACTTTGTTAAACTCTCGAATTTAAAGCCACATAGAGTAAGTTCCTTAGTCCCAACTACTGGCAAATGTAGTACTGATTATATATCTTATAACAAAGGGATAAAAGTGTCACTTCCTAAGGTTGGCTTTTAAGTATTGACCTTTCTAAATTCTTATATGTAGGTCCTACAAGTTTTAGTTATGTAGAAATGTTTAAAAAAAAAAAAACGGTTAAAGTCTCTTAAATTTGAGGCCTTTGAAATTCGTATACACATAATTTTGAAGTATCAAAACGTTAGAAAGGATATTACTAGTTTACTCATATTCTGACCTCAAAATTCTTTCATTTCCATTGCAGTGCCGCCGAAGGCTGGACAAAAGCGGCCGGCTACGAGCCCCGCACCGCACATCCCCGTGCCGCACCACCTGCAGACGCCTCCTGGCGGCGGCGGTGGCGGCTTGCCGGGATCATCGGTGGCCAACAGCCCGGTTCCATCGTCCGCCGGCGGCAACGCCATGCTGAACCACGCCCTGCCCAGCAACCACATCGGCACTCCATCGCCGCAACAACAGCAGCAGCAGCATCAGCACCAGCAACACCAACAGCAGCAGCAGCAGCAACACCAGGCCCAACAGCAGGCGGTGGCGGCTGCAGTGCAGCAACAGCTGGCAGCAGGAGTGGGCTTGCCACCGGGAGCTATTGGTGCCGCGTCGGCCAGTAGCCGGGGCTCCTTTGCCGCCGCCCTGCGAACGCTGGCCAAACAGGCGGACATCAAGGAGGAGGATGTCGGCGGGGACAGGAGTGTGCCAACCTCGGGAGCCGGCGGTCAACCACCCTCGTCATCTGGTCCAGGACCTTTGAACTCAGTGGCAGGACGTGTGGGATCCGAGCGACCTGGCGACGATCGAGTGGCCAGCAACAAGAAGCGGTCGCCTCCATCGCCGCAGCCGCCGGAGAAGATCGCCCGTCTTAGCCACACACCGCAAACGTCCTCGCTGCAACCGGAACTCCTGGCCAGGAGCGGATTCCAGCCGTACAGATCGGACGAGCGACTGATGCATCCGGCGGGCGCCTTTCCCCTGGAGGCCTACTCGCACTTTGCGGGACTGCCGGGAATTCCGCCAGCAGGTAAAGATAACGTTTGGAGATGGTGCCGAAATAATAGCAAAGTATTCTGACTTTACATGTAATTTAAAGATGATTTGGCTTTTGAGATTACAATGCTATTATTTTGAATGCCACTGAATTATCTACTGAAAGTATTATAACAAACTTCCCTATTACAGCTTTTCTGAATCCCGCTGGACTACCTTATACGGAGCAGCTCTACCTGGAGCACCGATACCAATTGTTTCGCGCCGCCGGCGCTCATCCCTCGCATCCACATGCCGCCGCACTGTATCCCCAAATGGCCTCGCCCTACTCCCACCTGTACTCGATGATGCCCGGAGCTGCATTGGGCATATCGCCGGCGATGCACGACCGGATGAAATTGGAGGAGGAACACCGGGCGCGGATAGCGCGGGAAGAGGAACGCGAACGGGAAATGCAGCGCGAGAAGGAGCGGGAGCTGCGAGAGCAGCGTGAGAAGGAGCAGCGGGAGAAGGAGCAACGAGAGAAGGAGCAGAGGGAGAAGGAGCAGCGGGAGCGGGAGCAGCGCGAGAAGGAAGCACGGGAACGCAAACTCCGGGATGAGGAGCGCGAAAGGGAGCGGGAACGCCAGCAGCTACTGAATGCCTCGCATCACTACTCGAACCAGTTGTACTCCCCACTGAACCGCAATCTTCTGGGTTCCATGATCCCACATCTCAATATGAGCTTGCGAGGACCGCCAGGAGCACTCCATGGTCTGCCCGGAATGTCGCATTACCATGCGGCGGCGGCGAATGCTCAGCGGCAGAGCCCACACGGAGCCATGGGTCTTAATCTCGGGATGGCTGGGCTTCCGGGTGTGGGAGTTTCTCCATTGGGCGGTCACGGGCCCAATCTGCAGCACCACCTACAGCAGGCGGCCATGGGCTTGGCTCATCCGGGGGCCGCTGGCCTCACGCATCCTGGTTTCTCAGCCGCTGCCCTTGGCCTCAGCGCCCATCCGCACAGCCTGAACCTCAGCCATCCGCACATGTCGCCCCACCATCCCGCCTCGCTGGCCCACCAGTTGCCACCGCACACCTCTTCGGCCGGCGGAGGAGTGATGAGCAACTCCATTCCCGTGACAGCTAGCTCGAGCCTGTCTTCATCCTCACCGCACACCAGCTTAAACCTGACGGCAGCTGTGAAGCTGAGCGCCGATCAGGTGCCCACATCGATGGCCAGTGGTGGTGGCAGTGGAATGCCGCCCACCACCTCCAGCTCCCACATTCCCAACATGGGTCCCTACTACCACCACGGGCATTTGGCGGCCATGCATGCTGCTGCGGCGGCGGCAAGCGGAATGACTCCGACGGCAGCCCATCAGCAGCAGCCCCTGTCGCTGCCCAGCTCGCCCAAAATCACGCCTCCCATCACGCCATCTTCCTCGGCGAACGGAGGAAGAGCAGGAGGTAGCCCACATGCCATGAGGCATCATATAGCCGCAGCAGTGGCTGCTGCCGCCCAACAATCAGCCATGATCGACAAGGCAGCCACGCCGGTGACCCATGAACCGGCCACCTTGGATTTGACCGGATCAAATTCAAATTCCAGCAACCAGGCGCCATCCAACGCTAGCAGTGGTCCGCCAGCGAATCACGAAGTGAACGGAGCCGAATCCAATGGAGCATCGCAGTCAGAGAGCAAGGAACACGTGGCAGCTAACAAAGAGGATCCCCTAAAAGGTTCTCCGCCTCCAGTGGCTCTTGAAAAGAAGCCGGCCACACCAAATGCATCCATGGACAAACCCATCCATCCAGACAGCTCGCCGGAGAACTCATCGCGGCGCAGTGCCAGCCCGCAATCGGAGACCAATCACTCGCTACCAGCGGCCAATGCCACGGCAGCCGCATCAGGTAAATGCCCAGAGGAGACCCCAAAGATTACAGACTCGGACATGACTGCCACAACCAAGACAGACATAGAGGAGGAGAAGCAGCGAACCAGGCTATCGGTGTCGCCGGCACCAGCTCCTCCGAAGACCACGGTCGCCTCACCAGACACCGTGTCCACCTCCGGCGGGGTGACCTCCACAACCAGTGGCACCACCCCGCCGCCGGTGGTCAGCAGCAGCACCAGCAGTGCCGGCAAGGCGCCGGTCGTGACCAGCGACGAGGTGTCCACCAGTGCCGCCACGCCCACTGCCGAGCCCACCAGATGATGAACGATCCCCTGGCGGGAGTGGGTTGCTCAGTGGAGCGATTGTTCGCTTAGGTTTAAGTTTTGAAAAGTCGCCTCGGATCGGAACTAGTTAACATCTACCTTCAGTAACATTTAACTAAGCGATAATTTAGTTGTTAGTCACGCATCTTTATTTATACAAGAATTTGTAATGTATTGCCAGCGCCGCTTAGATCCAATTCTAAATGTTTTAATCCTTAGTTTTTATATATTATTATTTCCCTATTTAAATGTGAAGCGTATACTTTTAGAAATGGCCTGAATAAATAATTTTTGTTTACAATTATTTAAATTATACTTATTATTTCGCTTTGGTTTCGTAATCCCCGAAAGGTAAAACCCCCCACTGAAATTTATAAAACTAAAGCTGTCATTCTCGGTGTATTTCAGATGATAGCAAACCACAGCTGGGAGGATTGGGTCGCAGCAACAGCGCAGAGGAGGCAGCAGCATTATGACACCAACTCTTCAGCAATTCCAATAACTAACTAATGAAAAACTACAGCGACATTGGGATGTATTTGCTGTCGGAGCAAGCTCTTCACCAGCAGCGCAAGCGGATGCTAGACGAGTTCTTGAAGCTCTAGGATGATCCTGAAAGAGCAGGGAGGGACGGCCAAGAAAGGACACCATTTGTCCGCTATAAATAATACAATGTACATTCTATAACAGATATCAGATATTTGTTTGTTCTCGGTGTTACAATCTAACGTTTACCCAACCAGTTGAATACAATTCTACCACAATTAGACATTTTGAATTGGTGTAAAAATCGTATCTGCATAAAATGTAAAATATTGTGACATATTCCAAGTAAATTAAATACTCTCGAATGAAACGTTATCAATAAGAATTTTAGGTACGTACTTGCATGGAACTCTGGATGATAGTTTTCGTGAGAAAATTAATGCTAGTTGTAAAGTTAGACTAAAATTCTAATAAGAAATTTATATATACACGAAAGAAACAGAAATTATACAAAACATACTGGGTAGCTATATTTTATTCTTAAATTGCTAATTGCTAATAATTGTGATTTGGAGAGTACGAATAAAAACGGAAAACGTATGAAAATGTAACTCGAATACAAAGTGGGGAAAACGGAACTGAAATTTAGATAACAAATCAAATCAAAAACCTAGAGAGATATTCTGGAATGAATTAGTAGTGAACAGCGAAAGGTTGAAATTATTTTTCGAAATTGATCATTTTTTGTAAGCCACCCTTTGGCCCTTAATTCTGATTTTTTTTTTTCAAATGATTTAAAATATTTTAGACTTAAAAGTGCAGAAATCGGAAAACGCATACTCCACAATCTTCAAAGAGCACACCCAAACACAAGCTAGCAAACGGAGCAATACTACTAACCAAAGTACTTTGTATCCACACTATATTTGATGTTTATAGTAAGTAGTCAATACCCTAAAAACCAAGCAAACTCTCAAAGATATAGATATAGTTTCCATTCCCGTGTTCAGTCTTTTCCCCTCTGCCTTGCCTCCCAGTCTTTCTTTTTTGTGTTTGAGATTGCCTAACATTTAACGATACATGAAGTAACGGTTTATATATATTTTAATGCATAAATCTCAAGCAATCTGTGATATTATAAAAAAAAATTAAAAACCAAACCAAAACTCAAAAAATCATTGCGTATGAGCCTCATTCGAGACCCTATACTATAAATTCAACTAGTTTTCGAAGCATGGTGTCCCAGAATGTTATGGTGTCCTTATTGAATAGATAAATACGGACACCGATACGCTTCGACAATTCCGTACAAATTCCGCCATATGCAAGTCGACTTTTCCTTTTGACAAAACTATGTGTATGTACCAGTAAAACTGAAAATGAATATATTTTATTAACTAATCGTAATAGATTCTTGAATGACACACATAACTGAAATCGATTGGCGCGCATCTAGTAACGTAACCACAAATGCCATGCGATAGCTATTCAACTACTGCAAATAGTTTCAAATACAACCTTAACAAAAGAAAACAAATCGATCGTAAATTAAATGTACTGTAACTCCCCCTCAATCTTCGTTGTGTGTGTAAACAGAATACAAAGTGTAAAACATTAAACTGTAAGCTAACCGAAACGCAATCGATCCCGAAAAGCAAATACAAATGTTCACAATTACTACAGCTACCGAAAAAATAGCAATAGACATAAGGAGGAGCGCTTAAGTCTGCCCGAAGATGTATTTAAAAGCCACTCTTTAAAAGTCCTAACAGGTTTGATATCTGTTACCCATCGGATTATAACAAAAATTCAGCAGACGGGCGCTTCTTTCTCAGATCTTCACACGACCACAGCATATAGTTGGGTTTACATATATCAACTCACTTGAGCCAACACAATCGCGCAGCAAAATAAATATGTACGAATGTTCAACCATGTGGCAAACGATATGCGAAACAAACATTTAAACAATATTGTGCAACTTTACATAAGGCATTTATGATTTTATGAAATAAACTCTACTTAAGGATGTACTATGAAACTTATTTTTTGGTTGGGAGACTATGGTAAAGTCATGATGACTAAATATGAAAAAAAGGTAACACTTTGCTTTTGAGCATTCCTTTTATTCTATTTTGAGGACCTTTCTATACTAGGTCTCCTTGTAGTCAGGAAACTAATGTTAAATGGATTGCACAAATAAGAAATTATATTCCATTTTAAAATATCCACAAAAGTACACTTTCAAATACAAATATTTTAGAAGATTCTATATTTACAAACTATATATAATCTTTACTACGCTTTTGCCACCTCGGCTTTCTTAACATACTTCAGTATCCTAACAATTGTCGAAGGAGTTACCCCTTGAATTCTACTAGCTGCTGCAATAGTCTGCGGTTGAATGAGCGTCAGCTTCTGTCTTTCCTCGTTGGACAAGCTCAGAGACTTGGAGAAGTAATCAATGTCGGCAGGAATAGATAGGCGCTCCTCACGACGCACATCCTCCACATCCCGTTGCTGTTCATCGACAAAAAACGAGTACAGCGCCTCGATTTTCAGCCTTTCGGCCAAGTTTCGCTCGCCGCTCAGCCAACTTAGTTCGTTGGGATGAAGCTGGATTAACTGATCCACTGTGATGTTGTCCGCTGGAATGCCAAGCATATCGAAGGCAGTTTTCTCCACCGACGCCTTGGCTTTGGGCAAGTCCAGAGCCTGTCTCCAATAGTGGGTGTGTTTTTGTAATCCCCTCAAGGTCTTAATGGCCGATAGTAATCTCTCCTCGGTTTGCTGGAAATGCTTATAGCGATGTGGGGATACTAGACCAAACTCGTAGCCTTTTTGGGTAAGTCGCATGTCAGCGTTGTCCGGCCGAAGCGACAAACGGAACTCTGCTCGGCTCGTGAACATGCGGTAGGGCTCGTTGGTTCCCAAAGATGTGAGGTCATCGATCAGCACGCCAATGTATCCTTCAGTTCGACTAATAGTTAATTGCCTTCCGTCACTGTGGCGGGTTTTGCCAGCTGCATTAGCCCCAGCTATGATTCCCTGGGCAGCTGCCTCTTCGTATCCCGTGGTTCCATTTATCTGTCCAGCGAAGAAGAGTCCTGGCACTCGCTTCGTTTCCAGCGTGGGGTACAGCTCGCGGGGATCTATGAAGTCGTACTCCACTCCGTATCCGGGTTGAACCACTTCCGCCTTCTCCAGACCCTGTATGGCATGAACGAGCTCCACTTGCTGGTCGTGGGGCAGCGTGCAGGAAATTCCCTGTGGGTACACCAAAGGACTGTCCAGTCCTTCTGGCTCCAACCAGACCTGATGAACCTTGGCGCCGAATCGCAGGATTTTTGACTCAATCGAAGGACAGTAACGTGGGCCTGTTATCTCCTCGGTAACATGGCGATTCACATGAAGATTGTTGCGGACAATGTCGCTGACCTTTGGTGTCGTGTATGTGAGATAGCAGGGTAGCTGATCTTTAGTCGGAATCCACACTTCTTTGTTAAGGAAGGAGAAAGACATAGGCGGATTATCACCGTCGTGTCTTTGGAGCTGAGAGTAGTCCACACTGCTTTTTGCTATCCTAGGAGGAGTTCCAGTTTTCAGCCTTCCCATGCGAAAGCCCAATCTGTCGATGGCTTCGCCCAGAGCTTTGGCAGGAGCATCACCAATCCGCCCAGCTGGACGAACCTCCAGTCCGATATTTATGTGCGCCCTGAGGAACGTGCCCGTGGTGAGCACCACGGATCGACTGCGCACCACCTCGCCGTTGGCCAACAGGACTCCGGCACAACGTCGAATTTGGGTATCCTGTTCATCCTCGATCAGAAGATTGTCCACGGCAGCTGCTCGGATCTCCAGGTTTGGAGTACTATGCAGTTCCCGCTGCACAGCCTTCTTGTACAGCTGGCGATCGATCTGCGCTCTGGGTCCCCAGACCGCCGGTCCGCGCCGCCTGTTTAGCACCTTGTAGTGAACTCCCGACACATCGCAGCAGCGGGCACAAACGCCATCCAGGGCGTCCACTTCGCGCATCAGGTGGCCCTTGCCAATGCCGCCGAACGAGGGATTGCACGACATCTCGCCAATGGTCTCCAGCTTGTGGGTGAGCAGCAGGGTGCGGGATCCCATGCGAGCGGCTGCCGCCGAGGCCTCTGTTCCGGCATGCCCGCCTCCGATGACGACCACATCGTAGATCTCGGCATTGGCAGCGTGGGCACTCCTAGATTGGAGGTGAATCCTTCCAGCCAGGCCACGGATCACGGCGATTCGCAGCTGCTGCATTTTCAAAATAACAAACAATAACAACAACCGGTATTGCACAACACATGTGCGTGTGGGGCTATCGATAACTACCGATAGGATCGCTCGATTCACAATCAATCGGGAAAGCCCGCTAAAATTTAATTTATAAAAACCTTTCTATAAATTATAATGAAAAGCTGGAAGCATGTCTACTTTCCTTAAAAACCAATGATTTTGTATACCTTTATAACATTATAATTGTATAATAATATTATTTTGGAGAATTCTTAACGCTATTATCCCGAAATTAACAATATCAGTAATACAAGAAATTACCAATATCGACATGGACAGCATACAAATGTATCGTGAACAAAATCTTGATTAAAGATTTGTTTGGTCAAAAACTTTTACCAGAAAATAATATGTATAATTCTCTAAAGAGATGTATGCTTATGCAAGAATTTATTTCTCATTGCATGGCTCATTGCGAGGCTCATTGGGTTATGGTTTTTTTAGGAAAACGCTTTACAGTGGCAAACTCTTAAAATCCCACAAAATTTAAATGCAATCAAAATTGTTTTTATTAATATGTGTGTATATATTTATAAATATTTTGAAACAAACAAATATAAATTTAATAATCCAATGTTAAAAACCGTTGCTGTCTCACAGAAAATAGGTGTGAAATTAAAAAGTCTTTCGTGGAAAACGCCATAAACGTTAGATCTTTATTCGTCTACTCCGGAACCTTTTCGGTGCGGTTCTCATGGGTAATGGTAATCTCCACGGTGCTCATGTTGGGCGTGAGGAAGTTCTCCAAGAACTGGGCACACTGTCGGGGCAGGCGATCGAAGGGGTAGCCCATGGACTTGCGATCCGGATAGAGACTGTCGCGAAGACCGCAATAGGAAGCAGCATCGGTGCAGGCACACTCAGATGCTTGTACAACCTGGAGGAGATGAGAGGGTAAAGGTCAGGTGGAGGCCTTAGTATCCTTCGAGAACACTTACCCTGTCATCATCGTAGTTGGAAATCATGACGAACAGCTTAAATCTCATGCCCTCAGGGCGACCCTTGGGCACCAGCATGTGGTGTGGCCATCCACAGCCGCAGAAGTCGTATATGGCCTTGTTGGGAGAGTTATCATCCGGATTGCGGAAAGTGCGCTCGAACGGAATGGTTACGTTCGAGTCCACGGATTTCCGAGAATGCGTAGACTGTCCGGCAGGCATCGTAATCACAAACTTGTCCAGCTCCACCATCAGGCGGCGCTGTTCCTCCAGTTCCATGATGCCATTACGCTCATCCAACATTGGCGCCAGGAAGATGCGAACGAATCCCTCTCGCGTGGCTCCACTGGTGTTCTCCACCTCGATGTTGTAGGTGAATTCGCTGTGCTGCAGATGGGTGAACCGGGCGGAGACCTTGCCGCGAGGCGAGAAGTCCAGGCCGCGGGACATGTCCAAATCGGACTGCTGCCAGAAGGTGGTCAGCATGTTGGTCTGGTCTCGGCTCTCCACATTGATGCCCTGAACGCATATGCCCGGGAAGCACAGATCTTCCGCGCTATATGGGGGCAGGTGACGCTTGTGCTCCTGGAACAGGTTGTCGACAAAGGAGTGCCACTTGTAAAAGACTGGATCGCGCATGGTGGTGGTCGTATCGCCCATTACACCTGATTTTTCCAAATGCTTGTTGGTTGGATCGTGGGCGTAGGCGATCAAGTTGTGTCCGTTGTTGTGGAAGTTACCATACTGTCGGTTCAAAAATATATATACATTAAGGGCAATCGCAAATCGTGTTTTGTTTGTACACGTTTTTTTCAATACTGTTATTTTATACAAATCTAACTAACTAATCGATGGTTACCCTGCAAGAATTATAGGTTTTAAGTCCCTCATAAAACTGTTTAAAATTGTGCAACACCGTTTTTTGAATCCGAATGCACCAAGTTGTAATTCAAATATTATATTGATCAAGATTTTTAGCCAAATCAAGGGAGGAAGCTCGCGTCGGTAAGCCGTTTTTAAGCTATTACCAATAAACCCATATCAAACCCATCGTAAACATACGTTCTATGTATCAAAATTATTAATTGAACATTTAAAACTGCAGGCTCTACACTTTTACTTTACTACTTTTAAAAATATTAACAAAGTACCCCAAAATGTCGTTATAGACAAGATCATACTTTTTAAGATCACTATTTTTAAAAACGGTTCGAAAGATTCTGTTGAAATCATGCGATCTTTCTTTAAAGATCATCACACCATTCAGAAATTTAATTCAAAATCTTACCAGCGTTCTGTTGACCGAAAGATCGGTGGCCTCAATGATATTGCCAAGGATGTCGATGCCCTTTACTTCATCCAGTTCCACCTTTTTGTTATCCTCCTAAAAATATTAATAAAATGTAGATTTTTCCCGGGTTCAGAGGAACAAATGCCCGAACTCACATCCAAAACATAGCCCTGGTGGATGGCCTCATAGATGCGTTCCCGCCAGCGCTTCATTTCGTCGATGGACACTCTTATCTGACCGACCCGTTCCACATCCCTCAGTCGGGTATTATCAAATCGCGGCGGATAGGCCCGACTGGCCACCGTGGAGTCCATCTTGGGGAAGTAGCCCTCGGCAATGGGCTCGTCCAAGTTGTTTAACGGCTGCACCTGGGCCATGTAGTTGCTCAACCGCTCGGCATTATAGCGGGCAATAATTTGCTGGTGCATATAGTAGAACAGCTCGCCACGACGATCCTTATCCACAATGCTGCGAATGGGGGCTTCGTAGGGATAGACCAAATGCCAGTGCCAGTGATGAAGGTTGATGCCCATATCCTCGCGGAAGTACCACAGGCGGTGCTCCACGTCGAGATCGGAGGCGGTATAGTTGACGGGTATTACGATGGCATTCCGGGAGTCGGATCCATCGATCACGAACGATTCTTCGCGCATATGGCGAAACATCTGCGAGTCGATGAAACGATCCGGAAAAACTTGCGAAAAGGCAGGCAGATTTAGGTCCTTGGTATCCGGACGATGGAGCAGGGCCACCGACAATGCATAGTTGAACATCACCGGATTCACCCGATCCCTGGCATACACGGCCACGCTTTGCAGTTCATCCACGGTGGGCATGTTGACAAAGACTTCAATCAAGTGGCCGGCCATCTCGGTGTGGGACTTCAGGAACACCGAGAACTGTTCGGCTCGGCCCAAGGACATGGGGTAACTGAGATCGGGCACTTCGATCTCCTTCACCGGGACTTGCTCCCTTTCACCGCAGACTCTCTGCTGCACCTTCTTGCAGATCTTGTTGTAGCGATTGGTCACATAGGAGTCGGGAACTTGGAACACGGTGCCATTGCCACCCTTGTCCATGAACACAGGCTCCGTGGGATGATCGAACAGCAGGAGGAGATTCTTCTTGTCGGCCATTTCTTTGGAGTAGATTCTTGCAGGACCTCTGGGTAAGCAGTTCACTTAGAGAATGTCACTTGAAGCGTTGAGACTTCCCAACTGTGACTATCCACCGAAACAGGCACCCTATTTATACCCAATAATAATTCGGATAATGCGTTCTTATCCAGTTTCTAGTTGAAAACCACATTTCATATTTTATCAAGTTCGAATAAAAATAAAATATAAGTCCTAGTCATACAAAAAATTAATTCTTCGTATCAGTAAAACATTTTGGGCGTGCTTTGCAAGGGCGTAGTCAGGTGTGGGCAGGGGCATTGGAAATTCTCTTAACTTTCATATTGCAATTTGAAAAACCACAAATATTAGATCAATCAATATAATTTGTGTTGAATTTGCCTATTTAAAAAAGTGTCTTATACGAAAATACAAAAATATTTGGTGCCCTATAAGTTTTTAAATGGAAAGAAAATATTTTTGTGTTTATTGCCATGAAATGACCGTCCTTAAAAAAAAAAGTCACACAAAAAATTAATATTTTCTTTGCATTTTAGGCCACCATAAAATATAATTGCAGTTTGCCGCCTGGCCTATTTGACCCCTGAGCAGCTATGAACATTGTTTGCATTTATTTATCAACGACCATAATTTATTTGTGAGTCACGAAACATATTACAAATATAAATGACTCTTTTGCAAGCTTAATTGTAAAATGGACGACTATGCTCCCTTTATCAACAATTAAAAACAAGGAAGAACGCTATAGTCGAGTACCTCGACTATCAGATACCCGTTACTCAGCTAAATGGAGATATGCAAGCAGCAAAGCGAGATTAAAATGCGCCACCTACCGGCGGTAGACAGATTTAAGCGTTATGGGCGTTAGAGTGGGCGTGGCAAATTTATTTTTGGATAAATCGATAGGTATTGACGACACCAATACATTTCAGTTAAAATTTTTTATGTAGCATGCAAATTGTGGGCGTCACAGGTTTTCGCGGTTTGTGGGCGTTTAAGTGGGCGTGGCAAACTTTTTTTTAGGTCAATCGATAGGTATTGATGAGAACAATACATTTCAGTTAAAATTTTCTATCTAGCATCAAAACTGTAGGAGTTACAGTTTTGGGCGGTTTGTGGGCGTTAGAGTGGGCGTGGCAGTCTACTGAAACAAACTTGCGCTGCGTAAGAAGCTCAGGAATCTGTACGCCAAATCTCAATAGCCTAGCTCTCATAGTTTCCGAGATCTCAGCGTTCATCCGGACAGACAGACGGACAGACGGACATGGCTAGATCGACTCGGCTAGTGATCCTGATCAAGAATATATATACTTTATGGGGTCGGAAACGCTTCCTTCTGCCTGTTACATACTTTCCGACGAATCTAGTATACCCTTTTACTCTACGAGTAACGGGTATAAATATTCGTATTGGTAATATTGAACAGTCCCTATGAAACCTATGTTTGATTCTGCCGCGTGTCACGCCCACAATTCGCAAAGTTTGTGTTGCCCACTTTTTTGAAGACTTTTTCAGTATAACTTTTAAATCGCACCATTAAGTAAAAAGATAAAATGGTTAGCTGCGCAACGGGTATATGAAAGTCAAGGTACTCTTACTTCTATTTTTTTTTTTGGTTATAAAAACTATATTTATTATTTCATATTTTGCTTAGGTTACAAATTGCGGTAACTTTCCGGAACTACTTAGAAACAACTTAACTTAGAATTCAACTGACTAACTAAAATCCTTCCACTTCTGCTTTTCGCTTCCGCTTTTTGAGTTTTTGCTTGATGTCCGGAGCTTTGCCACGGACGACAGCCGCCTTTAGGCGCTTCGCTGCCTTCTTGCGCTCCTGCACGCCAGCCTTTCGCTTGGCCGCCCGTTCTGGATCGTGAATCTTCTCCTGGGCCACAACCTTGCGTCGCTCGGCGCGTCGAGCCATCAGCTTGGTTTGCACCGCATTCCTGAGTTTGTCGTAGACATCGGCTCCTATGCGCTTTCTCAGACGACTGCCCACCCGGAGGGCTTGCTGGCGGAGATCTGCATCCACGTTCTGATCCTCTTCGGACATTTCACGAACCAGGGCCTGGAGCAGAGAGGGCGCCAATCTGGTTACGGACTCCACACTGAGCAGCGTGGACAAGGCCTCTATTAGCGTGAACATGGCAGTTCTCTGAAGTTGGACAAAAGATTTAGTAAATATACTTCATATATATATAGTTATACGTACTATGCTGGTGTCGTGAGGCGCCTTGGCCACTTCTTTGTTGATCAGGAAGCGTATGTTTCGCATTAGCCAGTTGAGGTTTATTTTGTTGACCGGCTCTCGCTCCTCATCATCATCAGCATCCTTTTCCTGCTTCAGACTAAATGGAACATCCCTCAGCATGTGTCCAATGTACAAGAGAATCTTCGACAGCTCATCGATCATCTCCTGCGCCGTATCGCCCGGCACGACCTGAGCACACAGATCTAAGACCAGAGATTTTATATCCTCTGCGGGCTGTCCATAAATAAAGTACAGCGTCTGTTCAGTGCCTTCTTCCTTCTTAATTCCGGACAGCTGTTGGCCAACAACCGTGTAATCGTAGTGAGCCAGGATGTGGGTCAGTAGTTTGGCTGCATTGCAGCGAACCCAGTTGTGGTCGTGTCCCAAAAGTCTCTGAGAGCCGTAGGCCAGCTCATCAATACTATCAGAGAGTTCCGGATTGCTGAGTAAACCCTCACCGCAATGCTCAAAAATCTTAAGCAGACAGTATTGTAATTGGATAAGCTGGTGGTCAGCTTTGCGCTGCTGTTGCTCTAGCCGGGATTCGTTGTCGTTGTCACCCAGTAGTAGTTCTTCATCAGGCACAGTTTCTAGTTTCTGGAAAATAACAAGAGTTTTTGGTGATTGCGCACACAAATGGATGTAAAAGCTTCGGTTACCTTTCGCTTTTTCTTGTTATGTAGACCATTTTCATTCACCTCTGCTGCCAGGTGTCCTGGAGCCCGCACAAATCTTCCTGCCGACTCAGCATCACCCAAAGTCATAACATTTACTAAAATGGGCAGTACCAGGGGCAATCTTTCTGCAAAGCCGGCTTTCTCCGCCTGAACAAATCTCGAGAGAAGAGCAGCGGCCATTTCCCGAACTCCTGGCTTCTGACTGGACTGTGGTGAAGTGAAGAACAGCAGCGTCAGATCCAGCAGGGGTTGCCTCTCCAGTTTGGTGAGACGTCCGATCAGAGCTTCCAGAGCACCGGCCACACTGCGTCGACACGATGGGTCTTCATCGTTGACCAGTCGGGTTCCCAGGGAAAGATATAGAAACTCGGACTGTTTGACCAGCATGAGCTGCGGGAACTTGTTGATGATAGAGTGCATGAACTGGATGGCCGACTGCCGACCAGCGGTCTGGCTGTAGCACAATTGCACCGACATGAACTTGACAAACTGCTCAACCTTATGGCCCAGCGTATATTCCATTATATAGATGAGCAGTATGCCACGGCACTCATCTCGCACGTAATCCGAGGGAGAGATGATGGAAAGGTCTCCCAGACGCTTCATCAGATCGTGCAGGGAGCGACTGTCCACCTTTCGACCGACAAGAGCTTTCAGCAAGGTAAATACCATGGTCTGGCTGCTACATTCACCCTCCTGCAGCTCCTGTTCGATGTGAAGCAAAAGTTGCTCGATCTGCTCCTCGTTGAGTTTGTAATCCTGGCATTTGCGCAGCAGGGCCACCACTGCTTTAAAGCTGGCTCTGACCAGCTGAGCGTTCTCCTCCTGCCGAGTGGCTCCGAACGTTGAGAAATTCTTAAGGATCTCAAACATACGACCAACCACCGGTTGAAGTGCCTCAGTACTCAGTTCGGAGAGCTCGTACTCTCCCAACCAAATGGCCGTGTAGCACTTAAGCGCATATGTTGTGGTCCTAGCGTGATTACTGCTCAAAGAATCTTTTAGAAGTGGCAACAGGGGATGAAGGAAGGGTTGGTAATCTAGATCCGTTAGCTTCTTCCGTTTCAGCACGAAGTGGAGGAGCTCCAACCCAAATTCGACTAGAATATGGGCATTGGCTTGTGTATTTGACTTCACTTGCTTGTTGCCAATAGCCACACTACGCCTCCCTGGCGCCGGTTGAAGGATCAGGCAATTAGGACGAGTTCTCCTCATCAGAGCCTGCTCTTTGTCTGTGAGCTGCCGTTTCTGTGTTCCTGGCAATAGGTCGCTGATGCTCTCCGACATCGTACCGTATATGAAAATCAGCAGGCTCTCCCTTGCGATGTGGGTGTTCTCGACCAAGCCACCCACTATTTTAGCAAAACACTCCTGAATCTTTTGAGTGACTTTACGGGAGTGCGATCTTGCTAAATGCTCCTTGAACGGCAAAAGCAGGTCGAGCAAACAGTTGTCTCGAATATGACGAGCGGCTATGTGGAGTGTGAGGTAGCTCTTTGCACTCGGCTTGGCTTCCGGCGTGTGAGCCACGATTTTCTCCACCTCCTTTTCGGCGCTCACATCGCCGAATATATCGTTGAGAGCCACTTCCAGCAGATTTTGCAGGCACTTTTCAATATGGTCTGGTTTTAGGTCACCCTTCAGAGCATCCAAAACGCCATGGAGGGTCACAGAGAGAACGTGCACTTGGAATCCACGTGTGAGTAGCGATTGCAACTGCTCCAACAGCATACCCAAATAACTGCCACCCAGGGTGATCATAATCTTCTTGAGAATGTCTCTGGTGAGCATTCGAACGGATTTTAGAGGGGATCGCAGGAAGGTGCAGACCTTCATGAAGATTCCTGAAGAAAATAAATACATTGATAGTGATATCATTCGTTCAAAATGTTAGCTTACACATACCTGGCAGGCTGTTGTCCAATAGCTCCAAAGGAAGCTTCTGCAAAAGTTTTACCATAGCCAAGGCAATAGGCACTCGCTGGATCTCCTCTTCCTCTCGTTCGTAGCTCAGGCGTCGGCGATTCACCTTGTGCTTGGTGTCATAGTTGGTTTTTTCGGTGATGGACCGATTAAGGGTCGGCAGCAAAACTGTAGTAATAGCGGCCATGACCTTTTTCGCAGCGTTGGGAGCAAGCAGTTGTATTCGCTGTTGTTCTATCGCAGGTTCGGTCGCCTCTTCCTCATCGAATTCTATAAAGTCAGACTGGTCCTCCTCTTTTTTCAAGGGCTTTTCTTCGGCATCGTCATCGGCATCCTCTTCCGTCTTGTTTTCTTGCGTCTCTTCAGCAGGTTCTTTAGAATCCACTTCCTCGGACAGCTTTTCCTTGAGCTTGGCAAGGGAAGCTAGATCCGTTTGTGCCTGGGTCAAGTCAAAATGGAAGCCGTCGAGGATGCGAACCACAAGCCGGACACACTGCTTCTGCTGCCCCTGGGCGTGTCTCAATTTTTGAAGGTAGTATCGCAGAACTGCTTGGTATTGCGTCCACGGGAGGAACTCACTCATCACCCCAACTGACTCAATGGCGGCATCTACTAGCGTGTGTTTACCCGAATGCTTTTCGCTCATCAGGTAGCGGGTAGCCAGCGGGAGAAGGAACTGTGTGAGTGTACGGGCGCATGGCGGAGCCTGCCGCCACCTGCCTCCCGATATATTCACCAGGCGCTGGAGGGCACGACCGTGTCGCTGGGTCTGCAGATGAAGCATGTTTTCAAAGAAGTCCACCTCCAGGTCGTGTTTATCGGTTAGCGGCGAGAGATCCTTCAAGATCTCGTGTGAAGCCGGACATTGGCGAGCGAGTTCGCCAAGTATGCCGATGGCCTCACTCCTGGCATGCTCGTGCTTCTCATCCCTCATACAGCGTTGTACTAGAGGCAGCAGAGTATCATCGAGCCAGAAATGCACATCCTCCTTTACTTCTAGTTGCAGAGTTACCAAGGGAAGCATGGGCTTTAACAGTTCCCCTATGTTAACTCTCATGCCCAGATCCGAATCGTGCCGCAGCATATAAAAGCAGTTGTAGACCACCAGGACTCCGAGTTGCAAGTCTATCTTTTTATCCTTCTTCTCCACCAACTGCTTGAGCTCCGAAAGACCCTCGAGACGTTTGTCGTAGTCCGGCTGCTCTAGCCACCTTTTGTCCCAGGCATTCAGGAGCAGCACAATCCTTACCCACTCCCGCAAGGATGCAGCAGTGGAGGACAGTTCGACGTTGTGTTTCGCCTCCTTGTGCAGTCTTTTCGCCATGTCCGACAAGAGTTCGCAAAGTAATTTCCTTGCGGGCAGCACACTTACCTGTTCAAAGAGTGGAGCCAGCTGACGAACATAGTCCTGCGGTCTTGGGACACGTTTCAAAAGATTGGCCAACGTGGTGACTAACTGAACCACTGTTTCCGGACCAGCTGAAGCCGACTGTTTGGTGAATATGGGTAGAAGTACCTGCAGTAGCAGTTCGCAAGTATCTGACTCCTCCACGTGCGACGTTATAAGTGTTAAAATGTTAAGTTCTCGCTTATCAAGCGTCTGTCTGCTCGCCTTTTTGTGGCGCCAACTGTTCTGGAGCTGTTGAAGGATGGCTGGAATGTGTGGGTGCACAATGGGCAAGACCTCGGCACCGTACTCCTCTGTGGAGGCCGATTCCAAGAGATGTTCCACCATCTGTAGAAGCGAGCGCTTGACATTGGTCTTGGCTTTGTCGTTTAGTAAGAGAGCCATCAGATGGTGCATTATAGGAAGTTTATCGGCTGAAGGACTTTTGTTTAGCCATTTTTGGTAGCGGGGCTCTCCGCCCCATAGGAGAAGTAACTTGAGCATGGGGGTAGGCGTGTGTATAGAGTCCTGCGAAAGGCGAGCAATACCTGGCCAAAGATAGACCTCACAAATTGCATTCATCTCCGGCTCCTGCCACAGCTCTTCCATGTCAACCAGCTGTCCGAAGTAGTTTACCAGTGTCTGCAGGCCAGAGTGCTTCACATTTTTGTAGGCAGCCAAAAGTTTGCCTTCTCCGTTGATTACTTCTTGGGCGACGCTGCCCACGAGAAGGAGTAATTTCAGTACGTAGCATTGGAAGTCAGTTGACAGCTTGCCGGCAAACTCCTTGCGAATAAGCTCTAGTAGATTGACTATCCTCTGCAACTGCTTGGCTGCAATCACCGCTGTCGGATCATAGGAGTCCCGAACATATTTAGCCACTTCGTTTACCGGTTTGTCGGTGTAGGCTGTAAACCTTCCGAACGCCATTTTCAGAAAGTCCATGATCTCTGACTCCTCCAGCTGGCCCAGGAATCGCAGAATCAGCGTCTTTCGCAGCTGGGCAGACAATTGCTTTTGGACACCTTTGGTCAGCATTTTGCCGTAAAGCACACGAAGCATAAAGGGCATCAGTTCCGATCTCTGCTGAGCCGAAATGTTAGCCAGTTCAAAGCCACTAAGGGTAGTCTTGAATTTTTCTTCATCAATAAGACCCGAAAGTTGGGCCTTCTGCTGCACCAGAGCTGAAGGCTGCTTGTAGGCTGCTAGGCAGTCGAGCGCCAATTGTTGCAATTGGGAATTGGGACCGGCTAGAAGCTCCAGGTAGAAGTCGTGCATTTCTGCCTGCCGATGCAGAGCCTTAGGATTTGGCTGCGACACAAAGCAGGCGAGTTTCAACTGAAGCGTTTGCAGAATAAACTTGGTGTGTGAATTTTGAGCTCTCCTTTTTTGCCGACCACGGGGTTCGGGCCTTGTTTCATTTTCATCATCGTCCTCGGCATCAACATCAGCAGCTAGAACAAAATCAAGAGGATTATATATTGGTTATTGGCATATATTTGCGGATATTTTACCTGTCGCTTCGTTCACATTCCAAGTGTGTTCGGATTTCTCCAACTGGGCGCGATATTCCTGTTCTAAAAATTGCAAGAACAATCGCACTATATCTGCATTCTTCACCTCGGCAAGTGTTCCCAACTTGGGCAGGCTTTGCCAGAGGAGCTGGCGGTAGTTTAGCGCATGCTGAAGAGTCAGTTGCTGCTCGCCCTCCACGGGAAGAAGCATGGTCAGCGCCGTCGATTGGTAGTCTCTTTTAAATGGCTCTTGCAGTGTTGTTACATCCCTTTTGTAATCTATGCAGGCGACATTTTCAACCAACTTGTCTTTAAAGAGGTTCCAGAACTCATCAGCTGTCATTGCTTTGGCATATGCAGCCAACAACTGTTGTACTGGCGCCCACACAAACTTGAAGTTGTTATACAGCAGGCCAAGCAATAGGCTTACAGCGTGCTCCTTGAAATGTGGCAACTGGGAGAACTGCTTAAACTGAGCAGACGACGGTTCCAATTGCTGCAGCTGGAGGAGCAGCTCGCGGTAGTTGTGGACAGTGAGTTCAATGCAGGCTGCAGCATAAAAGTGGGAGTACGGATTGTGTTTGCTCGTGGAGTTGATCACATCCAAGCAGTGGGCTGCTATGCGCCTGTATTGTGAAACTGGATTGCCCAAAAGACTCGCAATACCAGACAGTAATTCTTCGCTAGCGGATAGCTCCTTTTTAGGGGTTTCAAGAAGAACTAGCTGCAAGCAAGCTAAAGCCCGAAGGTCCTTCTCCAGTTCAGGAATAAGATAACTATTAAGATTAGATCGCAGGTGCTTGGGTAAATTAAACTTGAGCAAAGCATGGGTTTGAAGTAGCAATAGAAGCAGGGTAAAATCCTTTTCGTTACTCTTTACGAACTTCTCAAGGACTGACTGCAGCTTTTGTTCCAAAGGCTGCTTGCTGAATCCCCTCAAGTGAGGTGCTAGAATGACGAGTAGCAGATGATTCTCTTTGCTCACATCCAACTTTAGTAGCTCTTGCTCAACGATCTTGATAGTCTCCTTTTGCTTCAGCTGGATTGGGTAAGCTACCCATTGGGCGAGCGAGTTGCCATCCACTTGGAGCGGCCGCTTATGCTGAACGATCCGAGCAAGGAGCTCCAGTGCTCTTTCCTGCCTCTGCTCTTCATAGTATCCAATGACATTGGGCAGAACTAGAATCTCAAATTGTGGATAGTCGAGGAGCTGTAGGATGGCGTCCTCGTACACGGATTCTTGTGTTCGACTTATGCTTAGAAGTTTTTGCAGCAAACGACTGGCATCCAATTGGGTGAGTTGAGTGTGCTGAGCCTTAAGCAGACTGGTGACCAAGGTTGTCAACGGCTGCAGTGGATCCACTTTCTGATCCAGCAACTTCAGCAGTGTGGCAACCACTAACGGGAGCTCGGTGACATAGCGTCCGTCTTTGTGGGTGACCAGGGGAAGCATCAGATCAATCAGCCTTTGAACATCGGCACCATCACTGCTGGCAGCCGAACAGAGTGACATCCAAAGGACGTTACTTTGGTCTGAGCGCAGGAAGTTTAGCAATAGTCCCAACGAATACTCCACAATATCTCCCAGGAGTTCTGTCTGGGTTTTTGTGTGAGCCGAAGCCTTGTTGGCGAGCACCTCCAGGACATGGGCAAAGATCTCGGCCGCCGAGTTGTGCAGCTGTCCGTTGACGCCACGCAGTATTTCGTAGATGAGTCGTCCACATCCATGAACACTCTCCACCTGCTCGCGCAGAACAGTCTTCAGCACATAGGCCAGGAAACGTGGAAAGTCACGGACATCGCGGGCAATGTATGCAAAGCATTCCACCGCGAAGTTGGTCACATGCTCGGCATAGTGCTGTTCATCTAGGAGTGGTAAAATGGCATTGAAGACCACACCAATGTTGCGCTTCAAATACGGCTTGAGGGTCTTGAATAGGTGCGCCAGACAGATGAGGGTCCACTCCAGTTGCTCCGAATCTTGGGTGTTGAGCAGGCAAATCAGACGGTCCAGGACGCGCTGAAAGTACGGGTAGAACTCCTCGCGGAGATCCCTGGCCAGGACGTAGAGCAGATCCAGCAGCGGCTGCTGGGACAGATTCGTTGCAGTAGCCAGGCGCTCTAGCAGCAGGTCCACCACAAAGTCCTTCTGGTGCAGCAACTGCGGCAGGGTCACTATTTTGCGACATCGCTTGCTGAAGTAGTTGTACTCCTCGGTGAGATTGAGCACGTTCCATTTCTGGAGCGTCTGCTGGAAGTAAGTGGCGTTCTCCTCCTCGTCGAGCTCCTCGTTGCGGTGACCTATGTGGTAGAGCGCCAAGTGCCGCAGGTCAATCTCATTCACCCGATCCCCGAAAGATTTGAACTGCGGGAGAAAATTATGTGAGACGCTCCAAAAACGTGAGACTTCTGGGGACACTCACCCGAAATGTATTGGTGTCTTTCGTCTTTTCCGCTAAGGCTGCCATTTTGATGTACTTTTCTCTTAATTACCATTCACTTCATTTGCACTTGGCCGCTTTAGTTCACGGAAAAAACACTTTTGTTTACGGACCCTTTTCTTTTCAAATGCAACACGTGCAAAACATATTTACGCACAAGTATCGATAGACTGTCGGCGATTGCACGGACTAAAAACAGATGTTCGCGAGAAGTTATCGATAATGGCGGTTATCATTTATTTTTAGCGCGAAATTCAAATTGCATATTAGAAATCTATATTGATAATGCTGTTTGATATTAAATTAAAAGTACATTTTTTTATATAAGAGGTCAGTAATGCGCTTTCCTTCTTTATTTAATACCAAAATGTAAACAAATTTATAAATATTCGTTTTTGTGTGGTTTTAAAGTTTTAACCCTCTAGTGCCCAAGACCGCCTCCAGACGGGTAAGGTTAAAAACACCGTTATTTTAGTCTTTTCATTCCTTTTGACTCGGTTTTGCGTTTTTTCTAATTCGGGGAAGTCCAAAAATTAAGTTCGTTGCGTTTGGAATACATACTAGAGCTTGCGCAAGCTGCTGTAGTCATTTGAAGCAGAAAATTTGTGCAATTCGGACGAAATAATTATTTGCAAATTAAGTGCAAAATATAAATATTTTTTTAAAATATTGTAAAAAGTTTGTTGCTGGAAAAAAAAATTGTACCGTGTTGCTGATAGTCTCAAGGACTAAAAAAACGAAACCCACACTAAAAATAAGATTTCGTTAGCTTTCTATAGCTTTTATAAGGTATCCCGTCTAGAGGCGGTCTTGGGACAATTCGGGAAAAAAAAATTATAAGGTAAGTTTGAAAGTGGAACAACCTATGACATATTTAAGTACAAATAATTGCTTCAGTAGTCATGGAGCGACGACAAGTGAATAAGCTATCAGCTCTTTCCGACGTGGAGATTGAAAAATTTTTAAATTCAATTGATATTGCCCTCCAAGGATTCTACCGACCACGATCCTTTATACAAAATACGGCCGCTCGTGAATCACTTCAATGAGAAGTGTCAGTCAGTTCCGATGCGCCAACGCTTATCTGTGGATGAACAAATGTGTGCAACGAAGATGAAGACCTTTCTTAGACAATATTTACCAGACAAACCACACAAATGGGGAGTGAAATTCTTCAATTTGTGTGACTCTTCTGGCTTTTGCTATAATTTCGAGATATATTGTGGAGCAGGTGACAACGTTGTTCAAACTGGCTCACCAGATCTTGGTGCGGCAGCAAATGTAGTTGTTCGATTGTCACGCAATGTTCCGGATTTCAAAATCCAGATTATCTACTTTGACAATTATTATACTTCTTTGCCGCTTCTTGTATATCTCAAGTCCCGGGGAATATTTTCTTTGGGAACTATTCGCTCGAATCGCATTCCAAATTGTAAGCTGCCATCTGACAGCGACCTCAAGAAACAAGTGCGTGGATATTCTACAGAATTTTGTGGATCTGTATCAGGAGTCGAACTGTCTTTGACGATTTGGAAGGACAATAAGGCAGTACGACTTGCTTCGACTTACGCGGGCACAAAGCCTTTCCTGAATGAAACGAATTCAAAAGATCAGGTTTCACGTTTTGTTCGTTCCGAAAAAAAGTACGTTGACATAAATTGCCCAAATGTAATCCACGAATACAACAGCCACATGGGTGGTGTCGACTCAATGGACGGACTTATTGGTCGATATAAAATTCCCGTAAAGAGCAACAAGTATACAAATCGACTATTTACACATATGCTCGATTTAGCCATGGTAAACGCTTACATTTTGTTCCACCGAATAAACCAGCCGGACGCTAATAACACAAAATACCAATTGCCAAACTTCAGGTCAGAAGTTGCAAATGTTCTTTGCATGCTACAAACTCCTTATCTGCCAAAAGGACCCGGGCGCCCGCGACAAGTTGATGGAAAGGAAAATAAATGCACAGGGAAGAAAACTTTCCTTCCGATTAATGATGTACGTTATGATAAAGTCGAGCATTTTCCAATGTTTTTATCACGCGCTGACAAAAAAACCTGTAAGCTTCCTGGTTGTACATCGGAAACTCAAATTGTCTGCCGCAATAGTAATATAAACCTGTGCATTTCCCAGAAAAAAGACTGTTTCTATGATTTTCACCACAAATAAGTAATATAACTTTTTGTACCCAAATATTTGAAGCTTTGTGAATTTAAGTAACTTTAGTTTTATTTGTTGTTTTATTTGTTTTTGGAGCCTTTCTTTAAGAATTTTTATAATAAAAATTGTAAACAAAAGAATTGATTACCTAATTCTTTGTCGGCCTACCTTCCCAAAGCCGCCTCTAGGCGGTCCAACGATATAGTCCTACAAAACTCGATCCATGCAAAATTAAAAGTTTTTCTAAAACAAACATTCACTTTTGATACACAATGAATCCAAAAATAATTTTTTTTTTGGAAAAGAAAATTTGGGCACTAGAGGGTTAAACGTAAAATTGTATCCACCTGATTAGGAATTATTTTATGTACTCCTTTGTCGGTATATTAACTTGATCTAAACACAGAACATAAAAGGACTTTATTTAATATGGCACACGAAAAAAACGAAATACAATTTTTATGCAGATTCCTGGGACTGCAGGTAGTTGAAAACAGTGCCGCGCTCCACGTATCGCTTAATGTTTTCCTGTTTCAAGCCTTCTTCAGATTTAGAATCTTCAATTGGTCCAAATCCGCCACCGCCCGGAGTTTTCATTGCAAAAGTGTCCTGTAAAAGATTCGTTAGTACTCGAATACACAATTCATCCCACAACAATACATACTCCAGCTTCCACGTCGATGCAGGTCTTGCCTGCCAAAGCAATCACTCGACCATCCCGCTTGACCACCAAATTGCGACCACTCTTGCCCGACTCTCCGCCAGCAAGACCGTAGGGCTGAAGGGTGCGTCGCTCCGTCAGGACGGACAGGGTCACGGGTTTACGGAAAAGCAGATCCCGTTCCACGCCCTCGCCCCCGTTGTACTGTCCTCGTCCGCCGGAGCCATCGGTGCGCAGGCAGAATCTCTTCAAGATCATGGGATAGCGCAGCTCCAGGATTTCCGGATCAGTGATGCGGGTGTTCGTCATGTGGGTGTGGACTCCGCCGGCTCCATGCCAGCCTGGGCCGGCGCCAGCTCCTCCGGCCACGGTCTCGTAGTATCCCCAAGTCTCGTCACCGATGGTGATGTTGTTCATGCATCCCTGTGAGGCGGCACACACACCGAAAGCCTTCAGCACCGTGTCCACGATGCGCTGCGACGTCTGGACATTACCACCCACAACGGCGGCTCCCTCAGAGGGATCCAGTATGGAGTTCTTCGGAATGATGACCTGGATGGGTGCCAAGCAGCCCTGGTTAAGGGGCACATCGTGACCCACCATGCAGCGCAGGCAGTAGATCAGGGCGGACAAGGTGATTGCCCTCGGAGCATTGCAGTTGCCCCACACTTCGACCCCCGAACCGGTGAAATCGCACAGAGCCGATCCCTGCTCCGCATCGATGGTCACCTTGAGGGCGATGGGCGAGCCGTCGTCCATGAACTCCTTTGCCTCCAGCACAGTGGATCCCGTGCGCTCCAGCGTATCGCGACCAATCTGACGCAGCATATCGCGAACCGCCAACTCGGCATTCTTCTGGATGTGCGACATGTAAGCCTGCACCACGTCCAGTCCATAACTATCGATCAGCTCCGCCACCAGCTGGATGCCCTTGTGGTTGGCTGCGATCTGAGCCTTCAGATCCGACAGATTGTCGCTCAGGTTGCGAGTGCCCACCGCCCCCTTTGCGGCTGTAGGCGTGGTGAGCTGCTCGATGATCTGCTGCTCCTGGAAAAGCCCGTTCTCCACAATGAGAAAGGACTTGAAGGCAGCGCCCTCCTGGGCCAATGAGGTGGAGTGCGGGGGCATGGATCCCGGAGTAATGCCACCGATATCCGCATGGTGACCACGGGAGGCCACAAAGAAAACGGGACGTGGATGGTTTCTGGAAAAGTACGTAGAATTTGTAATATTGTTAAATAAAAATTAAATGATTAATTTTTGTTTTACAAATGAGATCATTTTAAGAACTACATACTTTGTCCGAAGAACGCAAGAAACTTAAGAGTTTGTTTTCAGAAAAAATGTTGTTTAAAACACTCACTCATAAAAAACTGGTGTGATGACGGTCAAATCGGGAAGGTGAGATCCCCCGGCGGAGGGATGGTTGGCCAGGATGACATCGCCGTTCTTCAAGGTCTCTCCACGCACCCTCAACTGATACTGGACGGTCTCCTGCATGGCGCCCAGGTGAACAGGAATGTGGGGAGCATTGCTGACCAGGCCGCCATCAGGTCCGAAAAGGGCACACGAAAAGTCCAGGCGCTCCTTGATGTTGGTGGAAATCGAAGTGCGTTGGAGCACCCTGCCCATCTGCTCGGCGATGCTCATGAAGCGGTGGCTAAAGATGCTCAGATGCACTGGATCCAAGTCCGCGTTGATGCCATGTTTGCCACCCGTCTTCACGTCCATGATGAGGTCCCCGAATGGGGTTACTTGGACTCCACATTCTGGTTCCACCACGATTGTCGAGAGCTGATCAATGAGCACCGCGGGTCCGGTGATCTTGTGTCCGGCCAGGAGGTTCTTGGTCAGGTAGATCGGAGCATCAAAGCCGCCCTCATCGAAGTAGAGACGACACCGGGTATTTGACTCCGCCGGGGGCGTCACTTCGGAGGCACCCTGAATCTTAGATTCCGGTGGTGTCTCATTCTTGCCCAATCCTCGAATGCGAATGTCATCTACAATAATGCGTCTATTTTGCAATACGAATCCAAACTCTGTGCGATAGCGGTCCAGGAAGGTGGCATTGAAGTCGCCATAGGCTGCTAGCAAAGGATTTGAAGCGGATGACTGCTTTCCAGTGGCCGGAGCCACCATTAAGGCGCCATCGGTGCCCTCGTAGCGTAAGTGAAGGAAGGGCTCCAGTTCGATTCGCCTGAATCCCTGATCAGCCAACTTGTCGTGACACTGCTGGGATAGGGCATCCAATCGCTCCTTCAGCTGCTGGGCATTGGCATCACTGAACTCCAGACCATTCGGTTCCTGGACCTCCTGGACCACGTCGGCCAGAGCCATTCCATAAGCAGATAGTATTCCAGCATACTTGTGGACCACAACCTGGAAAAGAGTATTCGACTTTTACTATCAGAAAGTTATAGATTAAGATGAATCCAAAATGGTTTTTCAACTATAATCTTAATACTGGAATTAGTGGAAATCGAAATCTTTACCCACCTTGCCGATTCCCAGATTACGAGCAATGGCGCAGGCGTGCTGACCACCGGCTCCCCCAAAGCAAGATAGCACATGGTTGGCAGTGTCCAATCCTCGGGATTGGGTCAACGCACGAATAGGACGGCACATGGTTTCGTTGGCCACGCGAATGAAACCGAGGGCCACGTCCTCAACACTGAGAACTCGATTATCACCCGAGGCCTTAAGGTATTCATTGATCTCCGCCTGCAACTCCACGAATTTACTCCTGGCGATCTCATGATCCAGCGGTTCGTTCTCCTTCGGACCAAAGATCTTGGGGAAGTATTGCGGCAGAATGCGTCCCAGTATAAGATTGGCATCCGTGACCGTCAGTGGACCTCCCTTCTTGTAGCAAGCTGGTCCCGGATGAGAACCTGCTGACTCGGGACCCACCACAAATATGCCAGATCGAAAGAAGAGCCGAGATCCACCGCCTGCAGCCACGGTATTGATGTCCAGCTGAGGAGCCTGGATGGTAACCCCCGCCGTGGTGCTTTCGATGACGTGCTCATAGGTGCCGGCATAGCGGGATACATCGGTCGAGGTACCGCCCATGTCGAAGCCTATAAGGGGTAGATCCGTTTCCCGGGCTCCCGTTAGAGCGTATCCCACAACACCTCCCGCAGGTCCAGAAAGAATGGCACGAGCCCCTCGGAAGTTCTCCATGTTGGTCAGACCTCCATCCGATTGCATGAAAAGCACATCCACGCCCTCTAACTGCTTGTCGAAGCCAGATTTGAAGCTATGAAATTGGCAGTTATTATAAATAGATATTATAGATAATGGTCATCGTATTATTTAAGCTACCACTGTTTAATGACAATGGAATCATTGAGAGCGCGCATTTGTTTTTACACCCTCTAGATCTTAGGGAACTTGGGTGTATGGTGATAAGATAGGTGTATGAAACCCTATAAAGGCTATATAGGTATATACCAAAGCTTTTTAACTTTCTATATTTTATTTTTTATAAAAGATTGCACCAAAACTTAAAAACAAAATGTTTAACGAAATGGAGCTTAATGGTTTTTGAATTTGTATACCTTTAAAGGGTATTAATGAGTCGAGAGCCCCATTTAAACTACGAACATTTGTATAAAGCTTTTGTTCTAGATTTGTTTACTTTACGTAACCCTATCTCAGCTTTGTATGTTTGTTTTGCTTGGTTTTATTTTGCTTCCAGTCTGACTAAAAGCTTATCTTTATTATGACTCTCTAAAAAACATGTTTGGGCTCGAAAAGAGCTGGGTCATCTGGCAAATTTATTCACCGGAGATTAGATGCACTTACCTGGCCAAGTAGCGATCCACATGGGGTGTCAGGTAGGCCTCGGCACAGGCCGTATAGCCTCGGGCAACGACCCGGCACATGGGCATTGCCTGGTGAGATAGCGTCACATGGCTGAAGCCCAGCTCCCGGGCGATGGCGCCCACCCGGAGTTCGTGTTCTGGACAGGCGTAGCTGTGGGCCAAGACCACGGAAACCGAGGAGACTCCCTGTTCACGGGCGGCTGAGAGGGCCTGACGTACCGTCACCTCATCAACTGGACGCACCTCCAGATACTTTGTGCCGGCCACACCCTCCAGCACCTTCCAGCTGTGATCTGCGTTAATATTCGATACAGCAATGGAGGTCGGAGAGATAGAGATATTATACTAACCCAGCTCACAGCGATCCGCCTGCTGTGGAACTATGCGGCAGTCCACCTCGACTACGGATTTATACAGATTCGCCGGCTTGCGAATGTTAAGGTCGAAGATCTTCGGTCTGGCCTGGTTGCCAATGTAGAGCAGGTCGCGGAAGCCACTGTTTACCACCAGAACCACTGGATCTCCCTTGCGCTCCAGTAGGGCATTAGTGGCCACCGTGGTGCCCATGCGAACCCAACCGATCTTCGAGGTGTCCACCAGGCCACTGGCTGCCAAATCCTCACCGGTCTCCTCTTTCAGGATCCGGCGGATGCCCTCGCGGGGGGCGTCGCTATACCTCTCCGGATCCTCGGAGAGCAGCTTCATGGTGCGCACTTTTCCGCCGGGACAGATGCACAGTACGTCCGTGAAAGTGCCTCCGCGGTCGATGGCGAAACAGTATTTGCTGCCCGACATTGTGTTCCTTGTTTTGAGTTCTGAGGGGGATTGGAAAATTAAGACTGAGCGGACAACAAGTGCCACATGCAGTATATATACAGGTGGTCGATACTATGGTGTATATACCGATCTCTTCTCTCCCAAAAGCTCGTTAAAGCTTTCTAGGTCGTGATCAGCTGATTAAGAACACGAGAGAGAATTCAAGAGAGAACAAGAAGATATAGCAGAGATATTATTATATTTCATTTTAGCCGCTCTGAGAGGAAACTTAAAAATTAGTCTACTCTCGTAGATTTAGATTAATTAATTAATTAATTAATTAGCTATCATTTCTCACCATTTACAGGATATCAACACATGAAGATTAATATTGAAAATTAAGATCAAAAAATGGAGTCTTCTCAATTTAATTCTTAGAAACTAATAAGCGATCTGCGATCTTAATTAAGTAATTTATTATTATAGTGGTTTTTAGTTTCACAAAAATGTAATTCAATATATTTGTTTCAAAAATTTTTTTTTGTAATTTTAGGGAAAGTTTTCTTTTGTGAAAATATCTACAAGTTTTTATGGGATTGCGAACCCTCAAACAAACGTACTATTTTCATTAAATAATTTGAGAAACTCCCAACATTTTTTTAGTTTTATACCTTGGCTAACAATAGTTCTCTTATATTTGATACAATTTCATTGATTATTATTATTGTGCCGTACAAAAAATACAATTATGAAAAGAAATTTAAATGGAATTGAAAATATCTAACCAATGTATGTACACTTCGATTTCTAGGATATCTTATAAATTGACATCAAGCGCTTGACAAATAAAGAAAAATTCTGAGTTACAGTTGGAATCGCACATCTCATTTGTGTATAAATTAACGCAGTGCTCGTTTTTAGGCGCCGGCTCGCCTTTCTTCCAATTAAAAAAGGGGGGTCTTCTTCCGGTAAGTGAGGAAATGTGCTCTCCTTCTTTGGCCAGGTCCGTGATGTCCAGCCAAAATACCCCGGCTGGGAGTTTTCGAGCAATAGCAGTCATCTCCTCCTGGTCTTGGATTGTCGCCAGGTATCCTCCCATTTTACGGCATGTGTTTGCTGGTGCGAACCAATTCTTTCTTATTTTTTTTTCTATGTAGAAGAATCTGCTCCCGATTTTTTCGAAATTCTGTGGGATTTCTGACTTAATGGGCTTTGACTCCAGAGAAAAGTTTTGAGCTCTTATGGATTCCTTAATTCCAGTAAGCTCACTTTCTACTTTGGTATCTAAGTTCTGCAGTTTCCTTTCAATATTCAATTTAAGTTCTGTTTGCTGATGTATTACGGTGTCCACTTTTTGTATACTATAAAGCAGTGAACCCCGGATTTGTAATAATGGTCGTTTAGCAGATAGTATAATTCAAAGAATTGGAGCCAGCCGACAGTTTGCTATGATTTTTTGCAGATAGTATAATTGGAATTAGAATTTGAGTCATGCGAAATTTTGCTATGAATTTCATGAACTCTAGAATACATTGAACAACTAAAAGAAACGTTGCTATGCCTCTAATAATTTACTCATGACTTGTAAAGTAATTGTTAGGCAGGTACATTGACAAGTAGGTTTTGACAAACAGAATCATCAACAATTGATCAATTAATTAAGAGCCAATTTCTGTTTATACTTATTCTTGAGCAAGCCATCTCTGTCTGTCTGATTGCCCATCCGTCCGTCTGTCCGTATTAACGCCGAGATATTGACAACAATAAATACTAAAAAGTTGGGCTTAAGGATGCACATTCTAGGGATTCGTGCGCAAGTACCTTGTTAAATAATTGTCCCCATAGAAATATGACTGCAGGAGCGTATAATACATACTTTGTATCCATCCATTTCGAATTTCCATACTAATTGCATTTCAAAAAAAACCCGATTGGATTGGCTTGAAACGTGAAACCTTTTTTATCCTTCCCCCAACGAACCCAATGTCCCCCAATTATCCCACATATCATCCGCCAGTATAGTTTGCTTCCAATTCGAACTCATTGAGCGCACATGCTGAATTTTCTCGATTCAATCATGGCCCCCGCAAACCATAAATATATGCAAATGCATGTTTTATCTGTTTTTTACTTGGCAGCAATGAAATTTGATGACTTATTAAACGAGGCCATAAAGAGCGCATTCCGTCCGCTTGTAAATACGCCGTGTGGAACATGCCAGCAAGTCAGTGTCAATATCACGGCATCGGCCTTTGAGCGCAATTGTTTGCTCTGGAGAAAGGAGAAGGGAGAAAGGAGAAAGGCGGGCGGTGGACGGGAGGCGTATCAATTCGAGTCGATTTGCGATTTCGATTGCGACTCCCAGCGGAACAGTTGAGATTGTTTCTCTGTTTCCCGGCAGCGTTATGACCCCTAATATCCGTGAACCGTGACCCCGGGCCAACCGAGTGACTGAAGTGACAGTGGGAGTTGCCGGCTGGTTTATGTGGGCACATTGATGGCATTTTTACGAGCCATTTTTGCCAGTTCTACAAGCCGAAAACATAGCTCCACAAATTGCCTAGAGTTTTCCGTTAGCATGGTGCTCTGGCTGAAAAAGATCTCGAAATGTGGGAGTGGGAAGTGTTGTCGCAGCCGGCGGAAGAAAAAGGTGGAGGAGGCGGAGGCAGTGCCCCAGACAGAGAATGAATTGTGGTTGGAGTACTACGGCCCGTATCTGCACATCTGGCCATTTCACGAGCTCTGCGCCCGATTGGAGACGAATGTCTCCCAGGTGAGATACGGAACATCGCGATTATATTATAATGATATAATGACGGAATCATCCAAACAGGGTCTAACCTCCGAGGCGGCGGCGAAAAAGCTGGCCCGGAACGGGAAGAACATTCTACCGCTTCCCCTCAAACAGGATGTGGGCTTTTGGAAGTTCATAAAGAACTGCTTCAGCGTCTTGGGCATCGTGATACTTCTGAGTTCCATCGCCTGTTTTGCCATATACTACATATTTGAAATTAACTCTACCATCCATGGCCAAGTGGATCCCGAGTTTCTGGTGGCGGGCATCATTTTGCTCGTTTTTTTCTTTCTCGCGGGCATTGTGCTCTATCTGCAAGAAGATGACCATGAGGAAATGGTCGTGGCTTTCGATGAGCTGATGCCCATGTATTGCACAGTGGTAAGGGATGGGGAAAAGGAGGTAATCCTCACCCAGGACGTGGTAGTCGGCGACATCGTGCCCATCAGCTATGGTCAGCGGCTTCCTGCCGATCTGCGGTTTTTCAGCTGCTCGGGTCTGGAGCTCAACAACGTGGCGCTGACAGGACACTCGAAACCCGTGCAAATCACTCCTCTGCCGAATGAGGGACGCCATAGGTACTCCCGAGTTGAGTACATAAAGGATGCGTGAAATTGTGTTCTTTTGAGCTATATTGAAAGAATGATTTCAAATAAATAATTTATACCTATGTCCTTAATAAAACAGAAATAAGGAATATTAAAATAATATCCATTGATAGGCTATATATACTCTATTGATTTTATTCATTTGTGCTTTTGAAAATATTTAGAGTTAATCTTTTTAGTCCACTTTGTTGTTTATGGGTGTTGAAAGGGAATATAGATTTTGTTGTACAATATTATATTATATTTCGTCACAAGCAGCATTAAAACTCAAAAATTTGGTAGGGGTTTTGTCTGTTATTGAACAAGGGTGAGAATAAGATTTTATTTTATGGATAGCACTTAAGCATAAACCATTAATATGTTACATTTTTTAGCAATCAAAGAAATCTGTTACCCAAGTGACACTTCTAGAAATCATAGATCTCTATCATGAGTTCCAAACCCTTAACGAAATGGGGTTCCAGCAATGTGGGCTTTGCTTGCAGTCATGCGATCAAGGGCTATGGCTTCGGAGTGGCCATAGCCTGTGGAAAGAATACCGATGTGGGAGCGATGACGGCACTCAGTTTCCAGGAGCGCCCTGTGAGTCGTGTGGAGAGGCATCAGAAACAGGTGAGTGATACCCAATGAACATAAGAAGGACCCATCTCACCCCTGTAACCCTCTAGGTGGCTTACTATACGATCTTAATAGTCGTTATCTTGTGTTTCCTGCTGCTCATCACTTCCGGATTCCAGCGTGGAGAAATTGTCTATGAAGTCAATCTCTCGCTTTTGGTTGCCCTGACACCCATGTACCTGCCCATCATCCTTTACTGGGGCATGAGGACGACGAAAAAGGAAGTCAGGAGGAAGCAGTGCCACGTGAGGAACCTTCTGAGTGCCACCACAGTGGGCCTCACCACGGTAATAGTCACCGACTTGGTTGGGACGATGACCAAGCGGCGCATGCGAGTGTCGGAGATCTTTGTGGACATGGGTCTACTTGCCGTCGAGAATCTGGATGTGAATGCTCAGGGACCCCGATTTATCGAGCTCATTCGTGCCTCGGTACTTTGCAACGATGCGGTCATCTGTCCGGGAAACATCGGGGTGCCCAAGATGCAAAAGGACATGTACGGCAATATCCTGGACATTGCCCTGCTAAAGTTCGGTCTGATGATCCTGCCGAACATAGATCAGCTGCGTCGCGATCACGAGAAGGTGGCCAACAAACACTACTCCAGTACGGACAAGGTCCAGGTGACGGTGCACCGCACTCGCGATGCGGAGGGCCAGCTGAAGCTGATCCTGCTGATGAAGGGCCACTGCCACGTGGTGATCCGCCGGTGCTCCACTTTCGCCATTCGCGACGAGGAGCTGCCGTTGGATGACCAGCTGCAGGAGATCATTCTCGGCCTGGCAGATGGGCTGCTGGAGGCGGGTCGGCATGTCCGTGCCTTTGCCTACAAGGAGTTGAGCAATGAGCTGGAGTTCCGCCGCTTCTCCCAGGTGAACGCGAATGCAGGAATGGAGGGTGGGGAGTACAAGTACAGGGACTACCTGGCAGTGGATACCTACTCGCTGAGGTTGCTGGGCATGATTGCCACGTACAATCCGCCGAGGAGCACCATTCCCAAGGCAGTGGTTCGTTGCAGATCGGCGGGCATCAAGTTGATCCTGGTCACGCGGCGCAAACGCAACATGGCCAAGGCTCTGGCCATGGATGTGGGCATCCTTTCGGCGCCTTGGGATCCTCTGCTCACCCGATACAGACGTCTCTCGACCCCCACGGACATAGTGGACATGTCGCAGTATGCCGACGAGAAGCCCCATCATCAGCGCTGGCACATCGAACAGCTGCTCCTGGCTCAACGGGATTTGGTGTGTGCCGGGACGAGCACGGAGCAACACCACTGGATAGTGGAAGCCTGTCGCCGTCTGGGTGCTGTGGTCTCCGTCGTCGGAGGAACGCTCCATGACACGCCCGCCATGAGGAGCGGCCATGTGGCGGTGGCCAAGTACGGATGTGCGGTCATGTGCGAGGCCAGTGCCGATCTCATCCTGCTGGACAGCTCATTTGCCACTTTGGTCAGTGTTGTGGGCGACAGTCGGTTGCTGTTCGAGAACCTGAAGAAGGCTCTGGCCTATTGCCTGGCCACCAACACGACCAACATACTGGTGGTCTCCACCTTCTTCCTGCTCCACATTCCCTTTCACATCCATATCATGGACGAGCTCACACTCGCCTTCCTGGTGAATTTGGTAAGTGGGGTCGCATAAAATGTGGCCTTATAAATGACCGAGTTTTCCCACAGCTACCTGCCATGACCTTAATTTATGAGCCCCCAGAGGAGAAGCTGATGCTGCAGATGCCCAAAGTTTACGATGACTTCCTGCTAAATAGTCGGTACAAGCTCTTTAAAGATGATATATGTGAAATATATGAAAATATTTCTCCAATATTGTGTACACATTCTCATGTTTTGTCAAACCATATCCTCTAGACTACTTTTTGTGTCCTACATCCTTGTGGGAACCATCGAAGCCGCTGCTGTTTTTATGACCTACTTTGTCTTCATGGCTGACAAGGGATTCCTGCCCAGGACATTGGTGGGTCTGCACATCCCGTGGCACGACGACATGACCCACGACATCACCGACTCCTACGGCCAGGAATGGGTAGAAATAGCTCCATATATATAGTATGTATCCCGGCAATCTGTCCATCTCCCATACTCCCGCAGAGCAGCGAAGCTCGCCAGCAACTGGAGTGCCAGGTGTCCTCCCTCTGCCTGATGAGCCTCATCACGATGCAGTGCACCAACCTGGTGTTGACCAAGACCGGACGTGCCAATCTGCTCACCCATGGCTTCGGTAACTGGCGGCTAAATCTGGCGGTCGTCTATTTGATTTGCCTCTGCGTGGTGATGTGCCTCATGGACGTCACTGTTTGCCTGCGTCAGGACGGAACCAACGAACTAGAGTGGGTGTTTCTGGCAGCCTGACCTCTGCACTATGACATGGGTTCTTCACTGTTTCAGCTTCGGCCACTTCCTGTGGACCATTTGTCCATTCGTGGCTCTACTGGTCTTCCTCGAGAGCGCCCGCAGATACTTTCTCCGCCTTTTCCCCGACAGTTGGCTCGAGCTGGCAACTTTGTATTGAGCGGGAAAAGATTGATGCACACGGAGAAAAACTTAAAGGTAGTTAAGATGGAATTTTCATTTATGCCAATACCGTTAACTAGAAATCTATATAGGTGGCCCATATTGAGATAAACATGTAGATATTTCTATTATTTTTGTCATGATTTGATCGGTTTTAAATGTGATAAAGCTATAAATTAGTTTTGTTTTATAAGTAAAACTTAGTCTTAATGATAATAATTCCATCACTTCATCAGAATTTAAAAAAAATTTTAAATTTTAGATTAAGCATTAAAAAGTATTTAATTTGTAAACAGGAACCTATATATGTGTTAGGGGTAGCACTTAAACAATAAAAAATATAGGTATGTTTTTTTCAGGTGTTTAAATGAATGGATGTTTCTAATTTTGTCCTTACCTTAAGGTTTCATAAAACTTTTCAGTTTAATACAGCCATCTCCTTATATCTGAGCTCACCTGAGCTATTTTGTGGATAGTAAAGCGTAGCGCATAAAACGCAGCCACAGAGAAGGGTGTGCCGGATAAAACTGGATCTCCGGAACTAATAGTTATAAAGGACATACCCCCCAGAGAGTGCGATTCTGTATTATTTTTTATGGAACCAGCAAGCATAAAGTGTAAGAAAAGAGTACTTCTCCTCGTTACTTGCCATCAAAATCAGGGAGTAAAACTCTTCAGCGTTTATTTTTAAAATATTGCATTTTATTTGTGAATAGCTCGAAGCTGTGGTGGTGGTGGCGGTTTTTTGTGTGGTTTCTGGTGGTTGTGGTGGAATTTTGCTGAAATTTTTCACATTTAAGACTGGTTTAATTATTTAATTCGTTTTGCATATTTGACATCTACATTAATGACATGAGTAGGACCTTTCACGGATCTGCTTTCTTTGAACATCAATATTTTGCATTAAGTTTACTTTTACTTTTACTTTTACGTTACGCTGTAAATATTCGTTTTGTTTTTTTGATTAAACTTTCTGTGAACATTTATTGAGTAATGTTTGTTATTGTATATCGGTTAACGCTATTTAAGAACTATGTGGTTCGTGCACAGTCAACAAAGTAACTGGGGAGCTAAAGTGAACTCTCGACGTGACATCGGAATTATCTGCTGGAATGGTCGGTACAGTGGCACCCAAAGTACTCGACAGATAACTGTGAGATCAAATTCCTATAGTTTTAATATCAATTCATACGTTTAATCGAAGCATCGCAGTGTGGTGGAGGGGATGGAGCATCTAGCTGGACTCAGACCAAAGACACAGACCTTCCAAACATCATCCTCGAGTGCGTGTATATAATATCTGAACAAAAAAATATAACTCTGGAGGCGATCGCTGCTTTCGATGTTCTGAAACTTTCTGTTCTGAAACTGAAACCGAACTATCATATCTATCAGCTGTAGCTTTGGGTCTGAGGGGACTCAATGTGGAATCAATCAGGCAACGCAAGCTGAAGGCGGTGGGATCTCTCTGATCGGGGGTTCTACCTCAACTGTCTATATCCTTCTACTTTCCTTTCTTTTCCTTTCATTTTCATTTTCATTTGGTTTTTGACTTTGTCTTCGTTTTGTGGCTGTTAAAATACTTTAAAATTATTGTATTATCTCATTAATTTAGTAGTTTCGTTTGGTTTAATCTTAAGTTTATATAGATTTAAGTACACACATATTTATACTTGTATATTCTTGTATACGTGTTCGTATGTATTGTATATATATCTTTTATGGTACTCGTGTTCGGAATCTGCATTCGCAGTCGCATTCGTATTTGTGTGTATATTTATTTAAAGTAATTTGTTTAAAGTAATTGCGTTTACATTTATTTCTATTGAAGTTGCTCTCATTTTTAATTTGACACTAATTTTAGGTTTCAATTTGTTTAAAGTTTAAACTCTGTTCCATTAGATCGAACGTTTCGATTTTGTTTGCCTAGGTATGCATCTGTGGAAATAAAACATCGCATTGCAAATAGACGCTCCGTTTATTCTCTGTAAAAAATAAAATCGTGTAGCACGAGCTCGAGATTTCGCTCGGATAAGTTCACAGTTAGTCCCTAAAGATCGGTATAGCCTTACTACGTGGAAAGTACGCATCGTCTACGCAAACATCGCCTAGTAATACTCCTAGAATCTCCTCGAGATTCCCGCTTGCCTCGCAAGGGGGAGGCGGGGCAGGTGGTTATCGGTCAGATTGGTCTATCTGGGCAGCCGCAGGTGGAGCAGGTCACTGGGTTAGACGCCCTGGGCGAGTCCCTCCTTCGACAGCGCCAGGATGGGCTGGTCCACCGCCTGGTGCGGAATAATGAACGGCGAGGCCAGCATCTGCAAGGGTCTGTAAAACACAATGAATGAGTTCCCATTCCCCCCCGATGGGTCCGTGAAATCGGAGTACGTGGCGGGTGGTTTCCGTGGGGGCAACTCACTCAGCGAAACTGGTGGCCGTCACCATGGGCTGGCGGACCGAGTGCAGCGCCTGCGAATTCTTGGCCCTGGCCAGCAGACTCATCACCGTGCGCTTGGTGGGATTCATTCCGGAGCGGGGAACCCCTAGCAACGGGCGCTTCCTTCCCAGGCCGCCACCTAGCACACAGAGAGAAAGTATCACCAAGGTAAAGTCATGATGCCGCGTTGTTAAAACAATTTAATGGTATAAAACAGTTGAAAGCAAAACTTGTCCAAATATATTGTACCTTTTTCTTACTTAAAAAAGAATGCTTATAGTTGCTTTCAATATTACCATCTTTAATATTGGAGGTAATATTAAAAAAAAATTCCATCCGCAATATTGAAAACAATGAAAGGAATAACTTATCCAATATTAAGGATGATAATATTGATAACAAAAAAGGAATAATTGGGATGAGTTTTCTATTTATATTAAGGATAGTAATATTGAAATCAAATGAAATGAAAGTGAAATAACGCAGAAGTTTAGTTCAATAAAATATTTTTATAGTTGTTGTTTCTTTTTAGTATAGTATGGTATTATAAACAATGGTATTATAAACTTAACTTAACAGTATTATAAACTTAAGAAATAATAATTTTTAAGCTAACAAGATGTGGTTTAAAAGTTGTCCATGACAAAAGCTAGAAAACTTAGTTCTTAGTGGGTTCAAATTATTTCGAGTATGTTTCGAGCTACTCGCTTAATTGCCAATGAGTTTTCATCGAGCAGGAACTGAAATGAGCCGAGGACGGCAACTGAAGCCTCTTCTGCAGCACTCACCTATGTTGATGGTCTTGACGTTGCGCAGAGCGGGGTGGAGGAGGGCGGTGCCCGGTGGCTCCAGCAGCGTGAGCGTCGATCCGGATGACTCCCCGTCGCCGGACAACTGCAGGGCGGCGGCCCCCGCCTGGGTGGTGGGCAGCCCGGCCATGGTGGCCCCCACTCCGGTGGCTGGCTTCAGGAGTCCTCCGATTCCTGCGGCTGTCAGCTGATGCTGGAGTGCCACTGCCATGGCTGTGGTGTGCACTGTGGGTGGATTGATGGCGGACAGGGGAAGAGAGCGGGATGAGTGGCAGCTGGAGGATTGCTTTGAACAAAGGGAGGAGGAGTCTGACTCCGGTAGCCGAAGCTAAGAATTCCCTTCCGGGTTTACCCCTGTGGGTTCTATTCACGTTCAATAATGAAATTAAATTCTATATCACCTTCTATGATGAAAATAAATTCTTCCAAGATTAATAAGATCAGAGCAAAGAAATGAGAATTGCTTATATAATATCTTACTATTTTATCTTTAGCTAATTCTGTTGCAAACTATAAAGATCAAATTTTGTATTATGTAAAACACAATAAAATGATAATCGGTTTATTCTGACTCTGGTAACCTAAGCTTAGAATTCCCTTTATCATGTTCTATTATAGAATTAAAGTCTATCAAGATCAATACGATCATAACTAAGAAATGAGCATGGCCCATATAATATCTTGCTATCTTAACACTAGATAATTTTGTTTTGAATTTAAAAATCGAATCCTACATATAGAACACAATAAAATGATAATCACTCCATTCATTTAAAAAAGTTCTGTATCTACCTTGTATTTTGTTATATTTCCCATACCTAGAAGAACTTAAATACCTAACAGTAAGATTTGTCCATACTAAATTTGTTCTTTAAGTGATAGTCATGAAAATTAAACGACTTTAACATATTTACTGTTCATCTGAAAGTATGACCTGCATTTTCTCATAAAGTTCTGATTTTCCTACTGCATATAAAATGCTCTTGTACACATAACTCTATACCCATAATGAACTCAACAGACCAAAGACCACCAATGAATATGTAATTTAAGTTGCAATTACGTAAATTGCGGAATAATGTAAAGTCCTTTGCGAGAGCATATCATCCACAGAAAGTGTGTTTAAGCCTGAATTGCCCTGCCTCCCAGCTCTCGGCTGGAGCTGGATTATGTTCTTGTGGCCCATTCAGGCACTACATCAATGGAGGCAGTAATTTCCAATTAATAGTCGAGACCAGCTCGGCTTTGGCAAAGCCACTGCGGCCGGAGTTCACTTACGTGCCGCCGCCGTCGCCGGAGTCGCCTGGCCGGAGAGATGCTCCCCGCAGGCAGCCGCTGCTGCACTGGCTCCTCCATGGGCCTGCTGGAGCAGCTGGTGGAAGTGCGCCTGGTGGCTCTGGTGGTGGTGGTGGTGCACCTGCTGCTGCTGGTGCTGCTGCTGGTTTCCGTGGGCGTGCGCTGGGTGCAGGTGCGCGTGGTGCTGGTGGGGATGCTGGTGCGGATGCGGATGCGGATGCTCAGAGCTGGTGGTGCTGATGGTCGTGATTCCGCTGATTCCCAGGCTGGCACAGCTGGATGAGCACTCGAGCTTGTCGACTGCCGACAGGCACTCCATGCCGCTGGCATCGTCCGATTTGTCATCGTTGGACGTGTCCATGTCGGCCAGTCCGCCGCCCAGGCCCCGCCCATTGGCCCCGCTGGAGGAGGAGTTGGTGGCGCCCCCCACCTGATTACTGGCGTTGATGGTAGGGCTCTGCGAGTCCTCCAGCGAGTGGGCGCCCAGTGCCGGCGTGGACGTCAGCGCCTGCATCTCCCACATCTGCTCCTGGCGGATGTCATCGTGGTAGTCCTGCGGTGAAGAGATGAGCGATTCAGTGATGGGAATAATGGCACTACGTCGCCCATAAGAAAGGCAAAAGCCACAAGGCGGAAAATAAACCGAGACTCGCAAAGAGATGATAATGATTATTAAGTAAGGTTCATCCTTAAAATGTATAGTTTCCAGTATGCGCTCTTTTAAAACCAATTGTATTTTAGTTAGGAAAAAAAACATGTATCTTACAGTTCTTATCTTTTAGTTCATTATTATCGATTCAAAACCAATCCTAAAAGGTTGGAGCTTTTTATTCACTTGGGGACGATATCCCAAAGTCATTTTAAGGCTTTAGTTACTTATCCGTCATAG